AGGCTTTGATCTGGGAAAGGTCAATTATATCGAACCTGGTGCAAATGGCTTTCTTTTCTCATGATATACCAAGCAGAATGGGGGGTCCTACCCACGTACATGATTGATAGAATCACTACTATGGGGGCGGTCAACTTGATGCGGAAAAGGCATGAGTGCAGTTCCGATCTTTTAGTATTCTATATTCAAGAGAAAAGAAAAGGTTCGATGTAATTGAGTTGTTGAACTCGAGGTTGGTAATAAACTGAAGCTGCTCAGTCTTCTAGCATAGCGGAGTGAGATATATCGAAGAATGAACTTAGCCTTCAACCCCTTTCCTAAACCTAAATAAGGGTCCTTTAGGCAGCCGATTGCCCGTTTGCTTCCTACGTCGTGAACATTTCTCCAACCCGTCAATGAAATGAAGAGAAGGGCTTTCCTCTTCGATCCCATCCTATGAGCCCTGCGAGCTCACGAGTCGTCAGTGATGGTCAGTCACTCGGAGGATTTTATCGACCGGCCTGAACTAACCGGAACGCAGCGATGAAAGGCAAAGACTAGTGTTTAGCATATAGCTAAGAGAAGACGGGGTTGTCTCTGTTACAATATAGTCCTTGTCCTGACTTTCCTGAAAGCTTAGTGAGGACAAGGACAGGACTCACGAAGGCAGGCCGGGTGAAACTCGTCATTCTCCGCTTGCAAGTCAAGCTTGTCAAGAGAATCTTTCAGAATGCGCTGTGGTGTTCTGATGATCCTAATTCTCATCTGGCTGAGCCAACAAGTGAATTACAGGTCGAGCTGACATAGGCGGGGAAGCCCTTTGGGCTGGGCACCGAGAGTTCTCTAGGGTGTCAGTAGACTTTCAATGTTGGTTAAACAACCGCAAATGCAAGATTGCTTGAGCGGGGAAATGCTATAGCGAACGAAGCATCTCACAGCTACAACAACCGATATATAGACAGCTCATGCTCTCTAAGGAAAATTTCACTAACCTTCTTTAGGATTTAGGAACTGATAAACCCTAAGCGTCAGTAGGATAGTTATCTCCTACAGCACCAATGTGATATCAACTAATAAGACTAGTCGCAGAAGAGTAAGTAGCTTGCACTACTTTCTATTCCTTTTAGTCGAGTATTGGAGCACATAAACCAATAGATGGAGTTCTTTCATACCAAAAAGAGAGACTGCAGGATAGATCTGCTCTTACGCTTGCTTTCGTAGACCTACTTTATTGCTAATAGGAGAAGCAGGATAAGTAGGACAGGGAGATGTAGGGCACCGTCCACTGATAGAGTTGCTTGAGCTCTTGGAGCTAGTATGAGCATCTTCATCTTGCTAGCGAGCCTTATTGATTATTGAAAAGGCTGAGGAAGTGACTTTTGGCCCCCTTGGATCAGGTATGGGCGTTAAGGCTCATCGCTATAAGGAAGAACTTTCCAATCAAGGGCAAGCACCTTTAACAAGCAAGTAGCGGTACTTTAAGCTTTCGATAGAGATGGCCTTATTATCACTTCCTACGTGATAAGGCGCCTATTGATGACTTCTTTTTCCTGATCTCAAGACAACTTAAGCAAAGCGATTAACAAAGGGATTTCGGTCTTAGGGGAACGAATGAAGCGAAGCGAAGTTCAGTCATAAGTAGTATGAGCACGAGTACGAGCGTGTAGGTGTGTAGGCTCTGACCTTCAGTCTTAAAGGCTAAACTAGTGGGTTATCTAGGTAGTTAATGTAGCGAGGCCCCGCCGATTGAAGGCATCGATCATTTCTTTCTCGACTGCTTGTCGTGCAAAAAATTGTTTAACTGAGTGGGGAGTCTTTTTCACTTTCTGTTCGTGTTTAGTGCCCCGGAATGATTTGCGAAAGGGAGCTTTTTTTTAGTAAGGTCAGGTCAATTACATCGAACCTTCACTTCGCTTCGCTTCGTTTGTTGGGTACCGGTCCCTCCGTATCAGAATAGGCAGCCAATAATCAGGAGAACGAAGTGAGTCTCGACCATAAAAACGAAGCGAAGCGAAGTGAAGTCATAAAAAAGCCGGAGAGAAGACTTGCCTATATAAGTGCGCCGAGTTCGACGGTCAAAAGACCTGAGACTTGAAGTCCTGAGACTGAAAGCGAGGTTTGCTGGCCGATGCCCCTCAGGGCAGCCTGAGAAGGCCAGTTCAGACCGAAGGGGATACGGGAGGTGATTGGGAAGAGCGCTCGTACAACGATCCCCGCCAGGAGATTGGATATGTGTTCCGGGAAAGAAGGTTAAAGTCATTTCTCGTCTTCGATCAGCGCTCCACAGATCGTGCTTCCCCGCCCCGATCCTATGGGCAAGCGATGGAACTTCTCCTTGCGAGTACATCAATCAGAGATTGGCCCCTTCCTCTTTCGTATCCTTTTGCTTTCATGACTCGGGTAGGAACCCTTAGGCTTAGGCTGAAGAACGACTTTTCCGACGCTCCCCCGATTATAGATCGAATCGAAGGTCAATGTAATCTTTAGAAGCGAAGTGAAGGAAAGGTGTAATTGAGAAATTCCCCATCCCCAGGCCGGACATATTGTAACGAATGGCAGAAAGAGAAGGCGAAAGGGCTCGCCCTCGAATCAAAGGTCAATTATATCGAGCCTAGGTTTGTTCCCTCTCTACCTTCTTAAGACCTCAGAAATAGTGTGTCTTGAGGAACCAATCAGCCATTGGAGAGGAAAACTCCGGATCCTGTCTTGTCTCCAAGGACCTCGTGATTCTTTTGTCCCCGTGTACAAGAAAATGGGCAAGAAGAAATTCTAAGACAGAAGATTCCATTCGGGGAACCAGATCCAAGTCAAATCGAGAGTGTCCAACGACGGCTTGCAATCGGGACACGGAGCATTGCCAGGAGAAAGCAGATACAAATCCTTTTGGAATTAATTAGTTTGTTGACTTTCTATTCCGAGTGAGAGTCGGGAACGAATTGGTAACACTGTGGCAAACCGAAGAATCCGCCGGCTGAACGGTAAAGAGAATCTCGTTCCCGGCACGACCGGCTTCGAAGAAAAGAAAGCACCAGGCTTAGAACGACCCAACAAACGAAACGAAGCGAAATGAAGTCAAATCTTCTATTTGAGTTTAGTAGGCTCGATGCAATTGACCTCAAGTATTCTCGTCTGCGGTGGGGAAACCATTCCCACTGCTGGTGCGATGTCTCCGGTTTAGACACCCGGCGAAAACCTTCCTAAACCGCTCTGTGTTTAGGTGAAGGCGAGTAGCTCAGCGCGAAATAGCTTCTATATCGAAGTTCCACATCGTTGTGACTCCTAGACAAAGACGATGCTAGTCTTTTGCCTTTGCTTCTGCCACTTGGCCTGGCACAGATCTTTTCGAAGAAATTGCGCCTTTTTCGCTGTTAGGGAGATTTCGGGGTGCCTAGCACTTTCAAAAGAAAAGAAAGTCAGTAAAGCAGGTAAAGGTCAAGATCCGACGGGAAAACTTTTTGATTCAAAAGTAATGGATATTTTCAGCAGTGAATTTCAAGCAAGAGGGAAGGAGGACAGCAAAGTTATCTTCCCCCTACTCTCCCTTCCGAAGGAACTCTTTGACTTCACTGCGCTTCGCTTCGTTTGTATGGTCGTTCGATTACATTGACCTCTCCTTTCGCGTCGAGCCTACTTCGTCCCCTTTGCCGAATACCATGCCATGTACAAGGCTCTATCTGACACGGCTGAGCATAAACAGCTACCTACCCCTAACTCCAAATCAAACTTCAAAGGAAGGATGGCGATACAAACGAAGCGAAGTTCAGTCAAAGAGAAATACCAGAAATCTGTATTGAACATCGTCATTCTACTCTGATTCCCAGGAGAGTTTTAGACATTTTCTTCTTGATGCTTTTCATAGTCTAGTCTGTCGGGCTAGTTTTCCGAGAAATCGAACAGAAAATGTTGATCATATTGGCATTATTACAGGCTAAACCTGATATTCCCTTGATCTGTAGAATTTAGGGGGCCTTTGTGGATCGAGTTTAGTCCTTTCTTTCTCCTCTTAGGAAGAGATAGCTAGCTTTGGGTACTTTAGAAGCGAAGCGAAGTGTACGAACGAAGGGTAAGGATTATCAGTTAGCCAGAGAGTAGTCCCACCCGCCCTCACCCCATACCATTTAGCATATCAGTCGAGTCGATCGGAAAATAAAGAACTGGTTAATATGTTCAAAGAAGGCGCTGACTGTGAGACCGACTGGTCAAACAGAGACGAAAGTCGGCCATAGTGATCCGGGAGTCCCGTGTGGAAGGGCTCTCCCAACAGAGATAGATTTTGTGACGCAAAGTGGGCCTCGTGTACTAAAGATGCGTTCGTAGGCATGGAAAATCGGTGAATCGTCTTCTCACCTGGCGTTCGTAGTTTCCTTCGCTGGCTTCCTCTCCAAGGCGAAGTAGGAATCGTGACCGTCTGGGGCATTGTCTAAACTCCTCTTTCCATTTCAATCCTGGCTCCTTGGCACCCGGCTACACATGGAAAGAATGGGAAAACTCCTACTCGGAAGCAAGCACCATTCTTCGCCGGCTTGGCCAGTGGTCCCAGTCGGACTCTATCAGGAAAATTCACTAATTGAGTAGACTCTTTCTTCCGCGCTTGGTAGCTAGCAATCCAAGAAAGACCATGTCCAGTCCCTTTGGTTCTCCCTATTTAGAAAGATCAATCCCATATCGCCCTGATCACGGATCAAGATGCAATAATTCATAAATATTCAATAGGGAATCCACCTATCATCACTAGTCGAGAAAATAGCTCCACTATTCGGAATTGGTGGGCGCTAGCTCTTCAGCGAACCCTGTCCTCGCCTTTGAATCATGCTCTATCCTCGAGTAAGATAGATGTCTAGCGGCGGCTTTCTTCTTCTTTTTTATCCTGGTGATCCAGAGCAGAATGAAGGAGTAAGCCTTATTCCCTATATCTTTCTTCGCCTAAAGCTACAGGCTCTGTGAAAAGTTGGAAGGATCAGGAGAAGATTTTTATGTGAAAGCGCAAGCTGGTTAACCAACGAAACCACGTATTTTGACAAGAATCAGCACGGATACCCGAGAGAAATATATGACCACCACAACGGAAGAATTACTATCCAAACCGGTCAACCGAAAGAAGCCGATTCGCCGATGGCTAATCCTAGATAATAAGGATCGCGAGTTAGGCGCTTGGGATGCCATTTGTTGAAGACCTACCTTTGGTTTACTATTCCTTTTCTTCACTTCGCTTCGTTCGTTGGGTCAATGCAATTGAGAGTCACCGTCAGGGTTTTGGAGTTCAGTGAGCGATGTAGCATATGAAAGAGAAGAAGCTTTCGGGCTTCCTTCCTACAGAAAAAAGGGTATATGATATGGCTCCGAATCCGAAGAAGGGTAGTGAAGATTCAAGTCGGTTCAGCTTCTGTATGAACCTTTTAAGCGCAGAAGCTCTCCATTTTGCATCTCAGAGGATACTTCGAGCTCACTTGGCTTGGCCTGAAAACTATTACCTAATATCCCTCCTATGCACCAACATCGAAGGCAAATGTATGAAATATGGTCGTAAGATTTATGCTGGGCTTGAAATGGTTTTCTCACAGGATTTGATGGATTGCTAGCTGTCTCACTTACAGGCGGCTCGCTTTCTCAATTACATCGAGCCTCTGATGCGCGGGAGTGTAAGTCCAAACCGTCGCTGGCTGGGCAAAGGAGAACAAAGTGAGACTCAAAGAACGAAGCGAAGCGAAGTTCAATCTCGGGAGAGGGAAGGTTCAATTGACGTCAGAAAGCGAGATTAAATTGTTAATATCCCTACAAGGATATCTTCAGGCTTTGTCTCGATTTGTGGATCTGCCTGTCTCTGAAAAACCTCACCTCAATTACATCGACCCTCGAGCGATTTTCTCTGATCCATCTTTCCCACTCAAGATCAGCTACACTTGCTTCAAAGTTACACGTATACCTGGTACCAAACCAGCTAAGAATGCGTTGATTGACAGCTTCATACCCTCGGCATCAATGACACTCCTAGGGCATTCATAGATGGTATGCCCCAGAATGCGACAGAGGTTGCACCTTCTGAAGACTCACTCGTTCATATCTGCACTCCACCCATACTTCTTTTTCGTCATCTAGTTGAACCTAAATCTTCTGAATTAAAGGTTCGGAGACGCTCGAGCGATAGCGAGAGGAAGCATTGGGTTGATGTGTACTCTGACCCTGAGAGGAAGTTGAGGCAGCTGCTGAAGATTGCACCTCCTTCATTCGTGACAGTATTCCCCACCAGGTTCCCCAGAACAGTAGCAACATATTCATTGTGATATTCCAGGGGAAGACCCCAATATTGCACCCATAAGGGGAAACTCTCGAGCGGAATTGAATCTCTCTGATTATGGTGTTGGGGAGCCAACGATCCACCACAAGTAAGGAGTTTACAATGGACCTTGGTCCATTATTGACTATATAGTACAGTACTCCCGATCCTCCTCGTTCTCAAATCTAATAAGCATTGTCTAGGACAGAAAAATCCGCTCGCAGACTCCATGCAGATCGAAGCTTCCTGGACAGTTTTTTGATGGAGAAATCATGGACATCAACAAGAACAGCAATGACGCAAGTGGTCAACTTTGTCGAACCTAGGCGGATCCAAAGATGCAGGATCAAACCTAAGTTAAGTATAGGGCGAAAAAGAAAGAGATTGCTAGCTTGAGCACTGAGCACAAAGATGAGAGGAAGAGGCAAATCGTAAAATAGCATATATATTATGTGAGAGATTTTCCCGGGCTAGGAAGTGAGATTAGTCTCATCTCAGAACTGCTTGCCAGTCAGATTAGGCTGCTCCCCATTCATTGCCTTTGGGCTGAACATTAGGGATTGGACTCTTTCTTGCTTTCGTGACTCGGGTAGGAACTATTACCCATCGCTTTCTGCTCCCTACGCATTTGTCACTCTTGGTCTTTTGCGCCTGACTCCCGATCCTATTTTTTGGTGTACCTCTAAGATAAGACTGATGAGTTCCGTCTCAACACGCTCCGTCACTTAGAATAAGTGCGGAACTCGGATCCCTATGGGAGAGTTCCCGTTACGCTCCGTCATCTACTGCTATTGGTTGACTTTTCTCCTTGCCCCTAAGCAAACTGGCCACCCTCTTCTCTTGGTAAGGTCGGTCTCTTACTTAGTGCTTGCGCTAAGGTTAGAAGAGCTTAGTGTGAAACTAAGGATAAGGAAGGTTTAAACCTGGCATAAGCTAAGGTACCTCGCTCATTAGTCACTTCCCCTACATGGTTAACTCTTGCCGGGTTAATGTATTTGAATGAATCATATATTTATTATTACGCGTAGAGATACCTATTTCTAGTGGTTTGTTCCTGCATCAATAGTAGCTTGAAGCTATAGTTTAATAGAAGTGACAAGATCATCAAAAAGGGAGGCACTCAAGCTTGACTATACGATCGATTGGTAGGAAAGATTTGAGACTTGAGCATATGCCTTCTTCCTCTATGGATAGGGCGACGTGACACGCAATGGATCGGTTAGAAAGGAGAAAAAATTGATCACATGTCCCCTTCTCAACAACCTTTCCCGCATCAGTAGATAGAGTCGATTTCCTATCCTTGGTCAACCTAAGGCTTTTCTTCTCTCTATATTTAGTTACCGACCCGAGCCTATGCGAATAGAGCCTACACTGGCTTGCGGCCAAAGCGATGAAAAGGCGAACGGTCTATATCGTAATATAATATAGGAAGGTCCATGAGAGAAAGCCTAGCCCTATCTTAACCTTATGATCCTAGTTGGCTCGAGTCAGGCGGAGGCAGGCTACTTTTTAGCAATCTCCAGATACCAGCTGCCATTGAAACAAAAGGTTTGGAACCCTGTAGTGCTATAGGCTGGCTTGGAAGGCCGGCCCCGTAAATTCAGTTCAGGGGCTTGCTGTGTAGGTTAGCCCTAAGATAAATAAGGCCTGGACCAGAAGGAAGACATGCCCTCAATATTTATCTTTCTGACGGTAAGGTAGCAGAATGCTTGCTTAGCTGACTAAAAAACCTGAATTTCTAGGTCTGATCTTGCCAAAAGGAAATGCTTTGATTCTTGCGCCGAACCTCGCAATACGAGATTCGATTGAGACTATCAATTGCTGAGAATTAACAACTGTTTTGGTCTACACCTAACTGGAAGAAGCTCTTATCTCGTGCTTCTTTCGAATGAAGCACATCGTTCTTACAAGTCAAGTTTCGCAGCCATCCCTGCTCGCGTTGGAGATTTTCCACTGAACTTCGCACATATTTAAATCTTCACTTCGCTTCGCTTCTAAAGTTGGGGCGAAGTCGGAATGAATACCGATTATCGATCAGCGAATGAGGGCTTGGACGATGGAACCTATTCCACTACTAAATCCAAGTCCTCTAGGCCTATTTTCATCGTTAAAGTTCTCGTTTGACCAGGCAAAAGTCTAAAGCCAAAAAGAACCACATTCATATAGGCCGAAGGCTATGACGACGAATATGCCCGGGTTGGCCTAACTCCCAACCTCAGCCCCGTAAGGCTGGCCCGGAAGGGCTGAGAAGGAGTAGCCACGCACGAGGATTTAGAGCTTAGCAAAGTAGCTACGCTACTGTGAGCGAGATATCGATCAGCTAAATCGGGCAACTAAAGCCAGCCTAGCTTACTCAGTAAAGCTCTTCGCTGCAGCGCCGCATAAATCAAATCACCTGCTCATCCCCTATCGGACGAAGCTAAGCTGAAACATCTAAAAGGGTAGATATTAAACATCTTACCCTTCACCCAACGAACTTTTCGAAGCGAAGTGTAGGTTATAACATATGCTCGACGCGAAAGGAGAGGAGAGCAGCTTTCGCCCCTCATCGACTTAGTCGAAGAGGAAGGATGGTAATGCCGAATAAGAGGACTTTGAGTCAAAGGGATCGATCTCACAACCTGCTCAGCGAAAGGCGATCCGCACATAACCGTTCCATGAATGGAGACCCCCTACTAAATGATCATCTTCTAAATATCTACGATAACTGAACTTCGAAAGCATCAACGTTTTTTTCTGCTATAGGTTGGACCAAGAAAGACATGGATTTTTTGTGGCGTGGCTTTTCTATTTCTATACGATATTTCGTATACTGACTACCAGACTCGATGAGACTTCCATCCGTCAATCAAGGCAGGCGTAGAGCAAAGCGAGAGGAGCGAGAAAAGGTCTTGGCAGGTGTGGTATCAGACACAGACCGTTTGAGACTCGGAGGCTTTTATGACTGAACTTCGCTTCGCCAAGACTTTTGACTTCACTTCGCTTCGAAAAGTTTGTTTGGTCTGAGTCTTTCATCAAGTAAAAGGGTCGATGTAATTGAGTGGATCACTCCCTCCCGCTGTGTTCTTCTTTCAATGCTTTCCACGGATCGTTAACGACGATCGAAAACCCCAACTTTCGATTCACTCGTGGCCTCAAGTCTTGGCTTGATCTTTCACTTCCGAAAACCTGAGGTGATCTCGACTACCACTATATGTTAACACCATCGGATCCACTCCCTGGCTTATCTTATTTCAATGCTTTTCTCAATAAAAGAAAAGGCCTACTCTTTCCGCTAAGGTCAACTTCTGATATTAGTCAGAGTTGGAACCCCTCAAACCAAAAGTTTCAGGGGGGGATAAACTTTTATGCGCATCCACTTTCCGTATCCATGTCCATCCGATTCATTGCTAGGCGGGGGAGGGGGCGGAGTTGTTGGGTTATTTTTGTCCGCTGCGCTTGTTGTTCTACCCCAACAAGTGACAATATGTCTGTCTTTTGATATAAAGTGCATATTTGCCGGCCGAGTGAGCCTTTCACTTTCACCTGTCTAACACACAAAAAAGAAAGCGTGAGATAAAGATCTTTCAAAGCGTAGCCAACGAATCGAAATGACCACCCTTTTATATGATATTTCGAAGAAAGGGACGACCGACCATCCAATGGACCATGGACTAAACGGACACTGCCTGAAAGGACTATGTTCAAGGCCCTAACTGACATTTTTCTCAGCGAGCGAACAGAACGAATGGTTGGCGAAGAGGGTGGCCGCGAACCTGCGACGAAGACTGATGGGCGAACTGTCATTTTTTGGGGTAAAAGAGCTGGGTCTAGTTCGAGCTATTCCTTAGTATTCTTTCCCCCGTTGCAATGAAAGATCTTCTTGGAAAGACGAATCCGGGGAGATTTCGAAGCTGGAATTGAACCAGCATCTCAGGTGGCTTTCCCGTATAAGTTCACTTTGAAAAGGGAGACCGGGGCGGAATTCAACCCAAATCGGTCCTACCCGGTTTACGTGAATATCGTACCAACCAACAAAGCCTAGAGACAAACCGAATGTGAGGAAAGAGCTCTTTTCGGCATATGAAAGAGAAGAAGCTTTCGGGCTTCCTTCCTTGCCTGAGGTCGGTCTCTCCGAGCCTTCCCGAGAAGCTATGGTTTGGATTGGGGATTGAATGCGACTCAGTTGATAGATTGTCTCTTTTGTCTTAGCCCAGGCTGCGTCGAAGTCAGGATCCCCCAAAGGTCCGGTGGGAGCCTTCGTGTTCTCGAGGAAGATTGGAAAAAAGCGGCAAAATCGAATGAAAGTGATAAATAAACTAAGTAAACGTAGACTCACTGACGAATATGCCTTGGACATCCGTACCACCACAATAGTGATCAATTCTTGAACCAGGCTTTATGCATAAGGCGAAGTGTAGGTTATAACATATGCTCGACCAAAGGGAGAGGTGGGGGTCGGTTATCAATCAAAGGAAGTAGGGCTCTCAAAAGAAGCTCGAGCCCGATCTACTCTCTCTGATAGAAGGTCGTCTTTCTTCTCAATGTAATCAAACCTCTCCCAAATCTTTTCTACACTTCGCT